TTGAAAAATACAGAAAAGATGAAAAGATGTCTCACTACTCAAAGAAACAGTTAAGTAGCTAGGGGTGGTTGTCAGTCCTTTTGTTTGCATGGGAGTCCTGAGGGTGGTGGTCGGAGTTACATGTAGTGTGTTACATGTGCAGCCCCAAACCACCCGGCACTGCACGGGAGAAAGAGCACTTTCCACTCCTGCGAACAGTGACAGTCTCAGAAACCCAGAAGGGCAGTTCTAGGAATCAGACTCCAGCCAATGGCAGTGAGTGCAAAGGGTTTGGGGCTTGGCTTGGTTTTTCACTTTCCTTGCACATTTGTAAGTAGCTATGATCATGCTTCGTGTATAATTATACATGAATTATGTATCATTGTATTGTGTATATGTAATAGATGTACCACATAATTACATATGTAATACATAATACATGTATTATGTATAATGTGCTGCTTTTAAAATTTAAGCTTACAGCCAAAAGCATGTTCCTGCCCTGGTGGCACAGTGGGTTACTCATTGGCCTGCTAACAACAAAGTCAGCAGTTCGAAACCACCAGCGACTCCGTGGGAGAAGGAAGAAGCTTTCTACTCCAGTAAAGCGTTACAGTCCGGAAACCCACAAGGGCAGTTCTGCTTGGTCCGACAGGGTTGCTATGTATTGTAATTGACTGGACTGGCTCTGGATTTGGGTTCGGGGAAAGAATCTGGACATTAAAACAAGATAAATCTTTTGGTTTCATTCTCTATCGGCACTAAAACTTCAGAACTCTTAAACCCTTACAGGGAGGGGCCTTGGAAGAAAGGCCTGGTGATCTGCTTCCGGTTTTTAAATCCCTGCGGAACACAGTTCTGCTGGCAACACATGGGTTGCCATAAGTCGGAATGGACTTAGCAGTAACTGGTTTTTTTTGGTGATGGTGCTTGTATTATGGTTTACAGCCCTGGTTCTCAGCCTTCCTCATGGCGTGACCCTTTCATACAGTTCCTCATGTGGTGGTGACCCCCCAACCATAAATTTATTTTCATTGCTACTTCATAATTGTCATTTTGCTACTGTGATGAATCGGGTGACCCCTGTGAAAGGGTCATTTGAGCCCCACAGGGGTCACTACCCACAGGTTGAGACCTGCTGGTTTAGGGGGTTTGTTTTGCTTGTTTTTGTATGTTTAGTTAATAAGTTTTCATTCAAATTTAGCACAAAAGTGAACATTTTTAATGTCTAAATTACAGCTGTGTACTAACAGTAACTAAGAACCTTGGAGGTACAGGGGTGATGTGTTGGGCTGTGATCCTCATGGTCGGCAGTTCAAAACCACCAGCAGCTCTAAAGAGAAAGACTAGGCTTTCTCATCCCATACACAGCGACAGCCTCAGAAACCCACAGGGGGTCGCTGTGAGTCAGCATCGACTCAATGACAGTGAGTCTGGTTTTGGATGGAGTCACAATAGCTAATCATTAGAGAGCTATTAATTTTTTTAATATGTCTATCCATTAGGTAATTAAAAGAGAATCAAGAATTGCTTTTCAAGAGAGAATAAAATACATAAAGAAATAGAATCTAAATTCATAAATTAAGAGATTTTTTAGCTACCACTCATTCATAAGAACCAAGCTGGGAGCTAAAATAAAGTAAACAAAATAAAATAAACTATCCTTATATGAGAGTTGCTTTTTCTAGCACACATAGTTCCCTCTCCTCCTGCCAGTGAGCCAGTTGCACCCCACGGTGGCCTGGTAGGAGAAATGTGAATTGCCCTGTAGGTTTTCCAGACTGTAAATCTCTACCTTAGCAGAAAGCCTCATCTTTCTCCCACAGAGGGCTGTTGAGTTTGAAAAGCTAATCTCACAGTTAGCCCAACAAGTAATCCACTGTGCCACCAGTACTCCTGTGTACATAGTTAAAACAGCATAAATGTTTGCTACATCAAAACATGCCCCCCCTCTAAATCATTCTACCATATTTCTTTTATTCTCAAATTTGAAATGTTTGAAGGACTTGCTAAGCAGTGGACAAAATATAAAATAGCTACAGAAGAAAAGTTTGTGTGATTCTCTCTCTATCGGGTTCTTCTTTGTTCTCGTGAACACCAAATAAAAGGCTTCCTGGGGGCACAGTCGGTAAGCAAACAGGGACTCAAATCCATGAGTCCCTCCCTGGGGAAGCTGTGGCTGTCTGCTTCCACAACGATTACGGCCACAGAAACTCTAGGGCGCAGTTCTACCTTGTCTTCCTGGGTCGCCATGAATATCGGAGTCTAGAGGAACCCGTTTCAACACCAAATGTATTTACATTTCAGCAAAAGGACAACTAAAGGCAAGTATTGCAAATTATTCAGACCTAAGGCCGTCAGACACTTGTAAGCTTACCAAGAATAATTCTTTTGAGTGTAAGGTCCAGGCTTCTAGAAGCTGTTTGAACTGAGAAATGGGACCAGCTGTCCAGGAAATCTGGTGGCAATGTGGTCAGGCTGTTGCTTGATAAATCCAGGTAGGTGAGGTTCTTAAGGTATCTGGTTGCCTCCGTTGGCACACTAGTTATTCTGTTATTGTGCAAATCCAGGGTCCGCAGCTGGGGCATCTCCAGCAGAGAAGCCCAAGGGAAAGCAGCCAGAGAATTGCCAGCCAACCGCAGCTCATGCAGCCGCTTTAAGTTGTAAAAGCTGCTGGACTCAATGCTGGTCACAGAATTGCACGTCACCCAGAGGTAGCGGAGCTCCACCAGGTAATAGAAGGCCTCGGCTGGGATGGTACGGATGACAGTCTTCTCTATTCGGAGCTTCCCCGTGTCCACCGGGATGTTCTTGGGGACCTCGTTCATATCCAGGTCACTGCAGAGCACCAACCTATTGCAATGACAAAAGCAAGAGAAAGCAACCTTCTTTCTGAGACCCACTTGAAAACTAAGCTTTATTTGGTCTGTTTCCCATTTCTCACTGGTTCTTTTACATAGCAGTTCGGTATGGCTAGCCTGTACATTAACAATTCACCATCATCATCTTCTCTCAGCCTAAGCATCATCATCCAGACCAAAGACATCAAGCACAGAGCCATCAAGTCCATTTCAACTCCTCGCCACCTAGTAAGGGTTCCATGACTGAAAATCTTTGTACTAGCAATAGCAGCACGTGTGTTAGATTAAACTACAAGCAATGGTCAAAAATGGTGAAATGTCAGCAATGGCATTTAGCTTAACTGAATGTTTACGGCGCTCTCTTTATGTGCCAGGTTATGCAACACTTCTCACAGGCTGTTATTGTTGTTGTCATAAGGTGTCACCTCACCCACTCCAGTTCATAGCGACACTATGTGCAAGGGAAAGAAACACTGCCCAGTCCTGCGCCATCCTCGCCATTATTAGTATGTTTGAGCTCCTTGTTGCAGCCACTGCATCAATCCATCTTATCAAAGTTCTTCCTCTTTTTCTTTTTCGGTTTTGTTTTTGTTTTAATCATTTTATTGGGGCTCATGCAACTCTTATCTCAATCCAAACATACGTCAATTGTGTAAAGCACATTTATACGTGCATTGCCCTCAGCATTCTCAAAACATTTGCTCTCCACCTAAGCCCCTGGCATCAGCTCCTCATTTTTCCCCCTCCCTCCCCACTCCCTCATGAACCCTTGATAATTTATAAATTATTATTTTGTCATATCTTACACTGCCCAATGTCTCCCTACGCCCACATTTCTGATGTCCATCCCCCAGGGAAGAGGTTATATGTAGATCCTTGTAATCGGTTCCCCCTTTCCA